TTATTCTTTTGTGTAATATTGGAGCACATACACTATGCAATGGAACTAGTTTATCAAAAAATAAATGCAAAAAATTATTGATGTTTTAATAAACATGTGTATATATGTTAGATCCGATAATTTTCAATCTCCATTATTTTTCAATTTCATACAAATACACTTTGACAATATGTTTGTTGTTGCAATTTTATAAACAATGAAAAAATTTCTATAGCTACAATCTACAATCAACTTTAACTTAATAAAATGAAGGCGCTGTTATTGTCTTAGTTTAGTGCTGTTAACTAGCAACTAGTGCATTAAACTAGCCAGTTTTAGCACTATATTATTTTTCAATTTCAGCTAATTTCTTGCTTGATTTGTGGTGCAGTTTTTATGAAATCGTTTTTGTGTTTATCTTGATACTCTTTTTAATAGATCTTGGTGTCATTAACTAGCATTTTTGCTGTAGTTAGAGTGAAGAAATTCACTTGTCAATTCATATAAAGTTTATTATTTTTAATGTATGACTTGATGAGTTTAGTAAATGATATAAATAATGTTTGCGCAATGTAAATATGTAAATGTATAAAATATGAATATAAATATGTACCATATAACAAATGACTCTGGAAGCAACATTTTCCATATTAAAAAAAAAAAGAATAAAAGGTTTTGTATAGTTAGTACCCTGCAGTACATATAAAAGACCGCTTGTATTATGATTAATAAAAGATTCTTTTTTGACCTACTTATGAAGTGCTTTTAGGAGGTGTTGAAAGGTACTTGGTCGCCGTTGGCGACAACTGGCTTCGGGATGTATACCCGACTGTTCTTAAAACCAGAAAAACATCTTCATTTGTTTATATTGTTTATATTATATTATTAGTTATTTTATATATGTTATATGTTTTTTTCTACATATAAATTAGTTATAAACATTATGCTTCATACTTTTGCTTTAATTTTTAGATTTGGACGCATCCTAAAGTACTGGAAAATGCATGGAAAAATGCTTGGAAAATACAACCTGTAAGTATTATATTTATTTCAAAGAAATGTATGAAATAATAAAAGAATTAATTTTACTTATATATCAAAGAAAAACAAAAAGGAAGCTCCAAGGAAGCAATTGAATTCAGAAGATGAGCAACCAGATGATGTGTATGATATACGTACTGGCGTTATGTCTGTGACTAATGATTGGTGGCGTCATCATGTCACGGAAAATGACTTAGAATCAATAATGCCAAGCAATAAATTACGTACAATGTTTGAAATTTTACGTATGTGTGAAGAGAAGGGCGAAAAATGGTATGAATAAAATATAAACATATAAACTGAAATATGACACAAGTATGTCATATAAACTTAGTGCGTAGAAAGTAAACTTGTTTCGTACTAGCAGCCACAATATCTATCATCTGATTGATTTTATGTGCTGCATTATTTTTTTACAGTACGGTTTTAGTACAAACTTTTATATATAAACGTATTACAATTCATATACCGAACAAAAATTCATCAATAAAGGATTATGAATATATATTAAGTAAAATCAACATATTCTACTATTCCTACAGCAAACATATTGTTAATATTATAATTTATTTATTATTAAGAAGTCATATAAATAAAAATAAATTGATCTCTCTTATTAATATTTTTTTAATTTTTATATTTTTAGTCTTATATTTTCCGCTTTTGTGGCCGTTCTTGATGTTGTGGAATATTTTTTTAAGAAAATCGATGGAAATGAAGTTGATATTTTACGAGATTTAAGTAAGTTAAATATTTAAAATAAATTTTATATCCACTAATGCAATTTACTTTCGATAGATTTACCACAGACTAATATGGGTAAAAATAGATGGGCAGCAAATAAGGATTACTATAGGTTAGATGGTAAAACGCCAAAGTCTATTCGCCACGAAATGATCAAACAATTTAATTCACCAAATTTTCCAAGAGCTCGAGTGTTCTTAATATCGGCCAAAGCTGGTGGACAAGGCATTAATTTAATTGGTGCCAATCGAGTTATTATACTTGACACTTCATGGAATCCATCCAATGATCAACAAAACATCTTTAGAATATTTCGTTTGGGACAAAAGAGAAACTGTTACGTTTATCGTTTATTAGCTATGGTAAGGGATAATTATATTTTGTTGATCGTAATTGGAAGTTGTATCATTGCTTCGTATGAATAAAAAAACATACGTATTGCCTAATTATTAATAATCTTGAATCGAGTACAAGAGGATTGTACTAGATGCTATCAATTGTAGCTAGATGCTAGCTATATAATAGCTTAAGTTACTATAAAATCATTTGGTTTCCGTAAATCAACAATATTTTGCGCAGCACACAATAGTGTATTAATATATATTTAATTAATATATAGTTAAAATATAAACTTGTGCGAAATGAGAAACGATTTTCTTATAGAGATTAAATAATTTATTGAACTATATATGATCCATTGTGGTCTTAACCCTTAGGCATTTTTATGACAGTAGTATGATTTTACGCTCATAAACTGTTTGGTCTTTGTTTTGTAAAAAACTACTTCAGGTGATTTTTAAACTCCTCATTTGAAGCAAAGGTTTAACTACCCAACAAATTTTTAAGAGTGCGAAATAAGTATGAAATAATCAAAAGGTGCCAGATCTTGATAATTACCAAATGGTTTTGACAAGTTTCTATTCTATGCTTTTGACACTATATCTATTCTTTTGATTAATTCTGACCGTTCCTGTTTAAGGAAATCATTCGACTTGTCCTGCTGATCACAGTGCAGTTGTTTTGTCCAGTAGAAAACAAGATTTCGTTAAAATTCTACCAAACAGTTAGCATCAAACTTTTTTTTTAATGAATATTGGCCTTCCAAGGGATTTTAGCCTGTTCATCTTTTTTACTCCATGATTTCTTGCGTTGAACCCATTTTAATAGGTTTTAAATAACCCATTTTTCATTCTTAGTAATGATGTGTTGTAAAAATTGGTCAAAAAGTAAAGAAAATTATTTTAAAATTTATATTTTATATTTCTTGGGTGCGCTAATTAAGAATTTTGAATCAGATTTAATATTTTCAAAATGGTTTGCGTAATATCACTAGCATAAGAGTATATATTTAAAAAAAAATTTAATTTCAAAATTTACAAGTTTATTGATTAATAATCATATAGTTATTGATTGAATCATAATAGAGTTTCATTTTTAAATTTTTGTTTAAATTTCTAATTAATAGAAATGAATTAATAAATTAATTATTTATCATAATTAGGAACATACATTTATGTATATGCTATAAATATATATATGTGTATTATAAATATGAATAAAAATGAGATCGTCATTAATCTATTAATATTCTAACATATTAATTTTATGTTAGTGAATTATAAAATAGTAGAAACTTTTCCATTTTCAAGAACTCATAGAACAATAATATTACTACCATTTGTGTTTCCATATCCTTCCTTAGGCTTATCAACAATCAATTCTACTTTTTTTTTTGAAACTTTCAGTTCTTTACCAACTCTATTTTGAGCCATCTCACAGAGATATAACAGTAGTTTTTAACAGCCAATTTAAAAAAAAAATAACTACTTTATTGAGATACGTTGCATTTGTGAGGTTGTATTTTGCATACATTTGCTAATACTTCCACCTACAACATAAAATAGGATTTTAAATGCAAGAGCATGGAACAACAACTTTTTCCAATTTTTCGGCTATCGGCCAAACTATGCGGACACAAATTGCTTTCAGTAAGATCATAATGAACTTTTATGTCCTGTTTTGAGATTAAACCTACGTATTTTAAGTGATCATGAAGGGATGAGTTTGACAAATTTAATCTCTCAGCTTATTTACCAGTTATTATTCGCCGGTTTCCATCAATTTATACCCTTTCTATTTAACTATCAGTGAACTGCCAGAATGTGGTATATCTGTAGTATTAAAACTGTTGGATCGAAATTTTGTGAACTAATTTGGCCAGTAACGTCTTCTGAATACATAAAAAGCTAAAACATGGAAAATATATGAACTTTCTATATTTAAAATGATAGAAAATACAAACTACTGTATAGAATTAAATTTTTAAACAAGCAGACCTATATCATCTGTCAAAATATGTAACTATTAAGCACCACATAAGTGTGAAGTTGACTGTGAAAAGATGCAAATAAGCACTCTATTGTTGCTTTTTGACCTATTCAATAAAATAGTTACTAATAAAATGCTTTACTCTTTGTTTAAATAAAGTACTAAATAAGTAAATAAAATAAATCTATTTAATTTCAGGGCACTATGGAAGAAAAAGTATATTCCCGATCAGTAACTAAGCAGGCTATGAGTTTTCGAGTTGTAGATGAGCAGCAGATAGATCGGCATTATAGCATGGCTGAATTAGCTGAATTATATACGTAAGTATATCAATTTATTTATGTTTAGCCTATATATATATATCAGTAAATAATTATTACGTTAATACTTTAATATAGCCTGACTAAACCAGATAATAGTATGAGACCAGTACCGGTTTTCCCGCAAGATAGTGTTCTTGCAAATTTACTTCGAAATTATCCGGATTTGGTGTACAAGTATCATGAGCACGACAGTTTATTAGAAAATAAAATTGAACAAGAGCTCAGCGAACAAGAGAAGGCAGATGCATGGGCAGCCTATGAAAGAGATTTGCTACAAAATGCCGAGTTTGCCAATATGGAAGAGTAAGATATTTTGTGATATGCCTATTATAAAAATTTTTTTTTTTTTTCAATAAATTTCACGAAAAGCAAATCATTTCTGTAAAACTATTCTAATTGATGTTGGTTAAATTTGTACTGCATTTTATTAGACCTAATTTAACTTTGAATATAGTGGCAATACCTTATTTATAAGAATTTCTACGAAAAATAGTATTCCAAAACAACTTACTACTTACTTATTTGGACATAACAATACGTTATCGGGTTTGTACGTGATGCAGCGCTACTCTCCAGGCGCTTCAGCTGCGTATACGGTTTATCTAATCTTGTACGCTACACGCAATAAGTGCTTGAAATCCTGGGCAGCGATGCATATTTCCGCTGATAGCTAATATATGATTCGTTTTGCTTGCATTTACCATTAAGCCTATTTTTGTAAATTTGATTTCGAAAGCGACAAATACAGCAGAAACTTCTCGCTTGCTTTGTGGAATTATACCAACATTATCAGCGTAAGCAAGGAGCTAGACATATTGATATATTTATAAAATATTGTGCCGTGTGCATGATAACTTCCATTGTGATATTGAAAAGATTACTTGACAAGACATTACCTTGTCTGAAGTCTCGCATGGTATCAAGAAGTTCCGAGACCTTGATCCTATATTCGCAGATATGAGCTTTATCTTTATTGAGCTATGAGTACGACTGAAAGCCGGAAACAATAAAAATTTTTAAATAATTGTGTGTTTTGGATAACCTGTTGATCTGTTTGGAGTATGGCCAAATATCCATCGCCAGTGGTCTCTGAAAGATTTTATGGTTGTTGCTAATAAACTCCGCACATAATTTTTGGATTGCAAATGGTAGCCTCAAAACTTTGAGCTCGGCATATTTAAAGCAATGACTTCGTGTGTGTTTACCAAATGAGTAGAACTGCACTAAAGTTCCACAACAATGAATATTAATGTAATTCTGTTTAAAAAAATAATAATAATAATAAAAAAAATATAATCTAAATAGAAAAAGTGTTATTGCGTAGCCATGAAAAAACATCAATTTACAAAATTTATATCAAGTTCAACATTGGCTCAGTGCTCTATCATGTGAGCTTGACGGAACTAAAAACCACCGTAAATACGCAATCAAAATTATTTTTGTAGTTTGTAATTTTCTTAACCAATTTTGTATTAAAATATATTCTTTGTCTAGCTAAAAAATTATATCTTCAGTATTGTAAGTGTCAAAGAAACATCCAGAGAAGAAAATTTTATATTCATTTTCAAATCTTATTATTGATACCAAGAAGTAGGTAATTATTAATACTAAAGTAACAACATTACTAATATCTACATTTGTTGCGTAAATCAATTATATTTACATATATATTATTATTTACATAAATATTTATATGTTTTTAATAAATATTTTTTTTACTTTCATTTAATTATTTATTCGTTTTGACATATTTTGTATTTTAGGATGCTGGCATCACAAAATCGAATGAACAAGTTCTTGCCACCAACCATAGATGTAAGTAACTAACAATTGCTATCACACGTATATATTGTATTTAATGCATCAAAATATTAATATTTATTTATATTAATTATAGTTAACTCAACAAAATTTTGGTCAATATCCGGCATACTCACCTTATTTAGGAGCTTTATTTGATCGCGAAAATTTCCAAAATCCAATGCAACAACTATACTTGAATGTGGTAGATGCATACCGGAAATCTCAAACACCTACAAATTTCCCACTGAATCCTCCAAGCACATCACCTTTAAATATGATGCCAGGCATGCTGCCAGGTACGAGTGCAGCCCCAAATCCCAATCCTTTGGCTGCTTTGGGCGATCTCAGCATGTTTGGCGGACCAAAGATGAACCCTGCCCTATATGGTGCACCACCAGCGTATGGTTCAAGGGGTAGCAATTCAATGTTATCCCCTTTGGAAATATATCAGCAGAGTTTTAAACATCTTTCGGGTCTTTATAATTATAACAATCCGAACAATATACCGAAACCGAATTTACCAAATGCGCCCTTTGCAGGACCTCATGAACAATATTTGGGTTTGCCATTTACAAACCCTCATGCACCGCAAACAAATGGTTTACAAGATAAGAACTATTACCAAAACCTTTCAGCAGAGCAATTACAACAAGCTAATAAAGCCGCTGAGAGTCCAGGTATAAATTCTAAAAATGGTGACAGCATACCGACAAGTGTTATAAAGAAGGGTGAACAAATGCCAAATAGAACAAACGAAAATGGTCAAACGTTTCCTAACGAACCCAACATTTTAAAAAACATAAACTCAACCACAAAAAGTAAAACCGGTACAATTTCTGTTATACCGCAAGCACAGCTGCAATCTCCAACAGCAATCCCATCCTCAAGCCCATCAATTTTGGCTTCGCCAACATTAGCGCATACATCACAATCATCTACATCAATTCCACAAAGTAATTTTGGCAATAACTCAATGCCGACACCACCAAGAATATATCAGACAGCAACATCTATGAGTTCTGGGCAACAATTACCAAAACCTAATGTATACCCACAAAAATTAACGACAAGTACAGCTGCCGCATTTGAGCGTTTTAAAAACATATACACTACCAGCAACTCCACGAATGTATCAATGGCCATTGCAAATGCTCCTCCAAAAGTCTCACTTGCAACGTCCTCAAATATAACTACGACTACATCATCGAATATGGGAATTTCTTATGGCAATAAATTGCCAACAATAGGAACATCGAACGACTTTTTAAAAGTAAGCAATGAAATGCAAATTATTCCCACCACCAGCCCACCCGGCACTTCTAGTATTTCAAAACAGTTTAATGAGATATCGCCAAGTATTTCGCTAACAGCTTTGAATGATTTAAATGTTAAAACAAAACCCAGTGGCAATATATCTCAAAGTAATAAGCATCCAAGTCAGACATTTATTTCGTCCAACAGCAATAATGCTAACAACAGTAATAGTGGCAGCAAAACACTACAAGTATCACCAAAAATAATACAACCAAGGAGTTATGCCAATAAAAAATTAACATCGAAAGCAAAAGAGTCTGGTAGCCAGATTATGTCAGCTCCAGGTGTCCCGCCTATGCTTCCAACGACAACGTCAGCAACAACAGCAGTTCCATTTGCCAGGTTAGTTGCAGTGTCTACTGCAATGGCAGCCAGTAATAGTACACCAGCAAAGAATGTAACAAGTACAATAACAGCGCAAGGAAAATCAAAGCTACCACCACTCTCACCAGCACCAACCAGTGCAACATCTAATATAGCTGTAGTGACTCAACGCACACAATCACCTGTGGCCGTCGCAGTAATCAAACGAAACACCGGACCAAGTCCTTATGTTAAACGTCAAAATGAACAGTCAATCAATAATACAGACATGCCCCAATTAACACCAAAAGCAACACCACCGTTGAGATCAAGATCTTCTACGACTTTATATGGCCCGAATACGTATGGAACAAATCAACACAATACAAATATTGGTAAATCTCAGTCAAGCTATATGCTAAATAAATATGGCTCACCTGCTTTACGAGATAATGCACCGATTGGAACTGGTATTAAGCGTACATTAGCAAAGTCAGCAGCACCACCAACGTTAACTCCAGCACCGCGAAACGTTTCTGCTGCGACAATAACAGCAGCAAAGGCTTTAGCAGCTATGAAAACTACCACCGGTGCAACCATTAGCACAAATAAATTACCAGCACAACCCATACCAACTCATCTTTTTGCTAATACAATGGCAAATACAAGGACACTTAGCAGTATATCAACTGCAACGCCATCCTCTTTAAGAGCTGTTAACATTCTACAATCAGGTCGTGGCGCCACAATTAGTTCTGCTGGCATTTCTACGGCAAGACCAGCTAATAGTCCAACAACAGCAGGAGCAAGAACAGTGACTGGTATTAATAATCAAACAATACGTACAAATACACCTTCGACGCTTTCTATTAAGAATATCGGTTCCTTGCCACAGAGACCACCAAATTTAAACGCAGTACAGAAAACTGTTGCGGGTGGTCAGTATATCATTGAAGGGAATATTAACGATAGACGTATTGCAATTGGTACACCAACCAAAAGGTAAAATATAAATTCTAAATAATTTAAAATAGATATATAAACATAGAATAACATAATCTGGTACTGAATACTTTATATATCAAATAGATATCAAATAGTCCTAATAGTAAAAATAGATAAGTTTTCGGTTTATTATAGTTTTATCATGCTATCTGATGTGTATGTATATAATTTAGAAATTAAGATAGAATTAAGCATGATATAGACGATGCTACATGTATGCAAACCAAGTTTAAATTGCGTTTATTTCGAACTGCAGAACGAGAACGGTGTTCAAACAGTATAAGATAATAGATTAATCTTAAACATATAACAATTTCTTGCGATTTTAATGAAGTTGACACCTTTTTAAAAATTATCTTAGGCCTCAAAAACACTATTTTTTTAAGGCGTCAGAAATCGTCTTGAAATAAATAAAACATATTTGGTTTGTTATTAAAAACTTTGGTTCACTCAATCGAAATACAATATATATATTATATATAATAGATGACTATTATATATGTGAATTTATATATTTATTATTTTGCTTAACGTGAACTGATGTTTTGTCAATTTTTTTTGTCACTCTTAAGTTTACATGTTCAGACTAAAGTCTTCAAGTTTTTAAGATTCGATTATATGTCTTTGTATATCTGGAAAAATATTTCATAATTTTTAGATCTTTTATAACCTAAAATCTTGTTGTCTATATATGTTTCAGCTATTCTGTAGCAGATTAGTAAGCAAAACATGTATAAGTAGAACAAAACTCCATAAAAGAGAGAGTATAGAGGGAGAGAGAGAGAGATTGTATTGTACCGATACAATATAAATAACGTCAGTGCTGATATATGCTACAGAAAGTTATACGTCTAGTCTTATTTTTCGGATCCACTTGCTTTTCTCGTCAACAAAGTTCCGCTCTCCTTTTTTGTTAGCGATTTATCAAGGATTTATCTTTATAATCTAAAATATATATTAAAAATATTTGTAAAAGGTTCCTTAATTTCTAATATTATTCAATAATATTATTCAATTTGTTGAAAGATGCAAGTTATATAATTGACTTGATATTATATATGGTATATGTACTTCATATCAATATGTAATATATATGCATAAATATATATAATATTTTACTTTCTCTTACAGCGGTGGTGGAACTACCATAACCAAAGTTCCGGTGCAAACTAAAAGGAAGATTGATACGAATGTTTTACCCAAAGATTTTGATATAAAACGCGCTAAAATGACTTCAAATAAAGTAAGTATTAAAGCAAAATGTTTTATGTTTGGTATTTAGCATAAAGTATTTATGTTGTCTGTCAATGACAAGGGCTGGTATGTGATACTTCAACGAATGATTAACATGGGTGGATACTTCATTTGAAATATACTGTGCATATAATATATATTATATGAATTAAGAATTGATTAACGATTTTATATTGACATAACAAAATGAATCCATTAATAGTGTTCTATCGATTTATAAATGTATAAATCTTAGTATTATATGCCAATAGCAAAAAATACTTTAGGAGTACTAACCATATCGATTTGTCTGTAGCGGTTGAGTTGTTGCAATTCTGTAGAGGAGTACAAGTCTTTTTATAATATATATATAATCTGTCGTGTCTGTCGTTTTATTCACTATACGAGGAACTTCGTTTTCTGGTCAGATTTGTGGTAACTTATAGAATCCAATAATTATTCTGTTCCACTGTTTTACCTCCTTTGTTTCTTGCGGCACGTGTTTATAGAAAACTTTTCTATTTAAAAGATTCCTTAATTAAATAGTGTCAGTAAACTACGTGAATATATTATCTAATATACATGGGTGATAATTTTTAAGTTGCTGATCTAACTTAACCTAAACGCTTGCTAATAATATTGGAACAGCTAAACCATATTGAACTCAGTGAATCAGACTGTATGAACTCTATGTGAGAAAATTCTCAATCTTTGTTATATAGTAGTTATATATTACTTGGGTAATTTTTGGAATCGTTGTTTTCAATGAACTAGAACGCTTTGCGTAATAAATGAATGGACAAAATATATCAGAAGTTATATTTGTAACTTCACCCAAAAAGCTGGGTCAGATCGTATTACCTAATACGTTGTTGTTACCACGTATTTATATTATATATTCTGAGTCTTCCTCCATGTTAGTAGTCGCTAATATGCTGACCAATTTTTGTAAAACTAAATTAATTAGTGAAGTCGATAAGACTATACTAAAGTTTCTAAAATATTTGGTTTATAAGTTGGGTTGGTTTTAGCAGAAGTTATATTAAAGTTTATGCTGTTATACCATTGTATGTATATATGTTTACTAAACATGGCATAAATCGAATCACATTTGGAATCTACAATCTATTATTGTAAATAAATGTTATAGTAATTTGGTTATTAAAACAATAAATTATTAAATAAATGTTATTATAATAATAATATATTGCTTTTTTAAGAAATTTTCAATAATTGTGTTTAATTATGATTAATAAATTTTTTTCTTTGCAGGTGACTAAATAAATATATACCTTTGTTTTAAAATTTTATACGCTAATTTAAACTATTTAAATAATTATTTATTGTTTTTATAATTTATTAATTTTTTAAATGCATGCATTATTGTAACACTTGTGAATATTTTTTTAATTGTTTCTTTATGAAAAACGAATGAATGGAATGTAATGTGTAAAAACTAAATATAGATCTTAATAAATGTATGTTGAATAAATTAATTAATAAAAAAAAAAAAAATAAAATATTTTAAATTTTTGTTTTACTTTTTTGTTATAATGTTATGGAGCTTCAGAGAGCTTCAAAAAGTCGTCCTATATATGGTAAGTTGTGTGATGATTGTCGAAATAGTACATTTAACAGATGCCCTATCATTATCTATTATTATTATATTATATTATAATGATGAATCGCCTGAAAATGTTTTAAGCCGTCATTCGTAACAAGTTGGACTTAGTATTCTGAATTATCGTGAAATAAATTTATGGTATTTGGAACGCCTTAAACATCAAGAATTACGGATTGGTGGCTTGCGAGCTTATTTTTACCATTATATTATTTTGAACAATGGGGACATACATAAAAAAATGGAAATGTTTTCGTATACCTTCCGACTAATTTTAACGCATATAGGTACACTCCACAGCTATTACATTACTGCATATAACTGCATTTATGTTAATTTTGCTTTATAATTTAAATAAGCGGGTTGTCTTAATTATCTTAATACCATTTCTGTAAATAATTGTTTATATGCTAATTGCATATAATTATAGGTTTATATATATAAGTATATATATGCTAATATATATTAATTAATCCATTAATTTACCATATTTAATGAATAATAACACTGTCGGATGTCAATCGCTGAAGTTGATCACAGTTTTTCACAGTCGATCAATTTACGTCTTCCTGTTGATGTTATGTGTTCTGCTGATGTCCAGGTTTTCAGTTACCTTGGGGCTTATATTCAAGATTTTTTTTTTATTAAAGTCTTCTACAGACTTATATAAAATAAATAGTAAATGATTTTGTGATCAAATTTTTAAAGATATGGTGGAACATTAGACAGATGTCATCCACATAATTCAGACCGCTAAGTTTGGTGTATACGTCGAGTATGAATTTCTTGCCCTTAGCCATTAACTTCTGATTAGTATTGATACATCGATGACGTTATTGAAAAAGAGCGGTTATAGTACATAGCCTTGTTATTAATTTGGATACGTCTACTGAGTAATGTATACGCAAGTAAAGGTATTTTATCAAATCTATCAACGTCCGATGCTTGAGGTAGCACTGCTGTCCGTACCGTATTAAAAATATGAAAAGCTCGCGAAAGATCGATATGAATAAGTTAAAATTTAACAGTTGGTGTCATCCGCTTAACTATTAAGCGATATTTTTAGACTCTATTATAAAGATCTTTACACGATCGATATTACCTGAACTCAACTTGCGCTTTACGTAGGTGCTCGACAATATAAGCAATAGCGGTTATTAAAAATTTTGCAGAATATTTTGTTTACTAATATAATTTGCGTCATACCTCCCAGGTTTTTGCTTACTTACTTACTTACTTATTTGGCCATAACAAACCGCCTAAAGTTATGTTTAATAATGTCAAACTTTCGTATGGAAACGTCAGATGACATCTAACAACAATCAGTGTTACTAAGGCTCAAAATATGAATAATGACCCTCGTTCCAATGTCGTGATAGAGTATGGGGTAGTTGTCGTCAACTCGTAGAGGACCCAAGATCTTATGAAGAACTCTTGTCTCGAACACTCCCAGTATTACTTTGTCATTCTGTGATAGCGTACATGATAGCATAGGTAGGATGAGCGACCTTTAGGGCGTAAGTTTTTTTTGTTAAGAGAGAGTTCTACTTCCCAATTGCCTACTGAGCCCATAGTAGTACCCATCAGCAATGATGATTCTTCGTCTGATCTTCAGATTGACATCATTTTTGTTTGCCATCGCGGTGCCAAGGTAGATAATACCCTTTATAGAGTGAAGAATATGTATGAGACGAGGCGATTGCCTAGTTTTAGCTGTTCACGATCTATTTGTTTGAAACAGCAGTGGCATGATCAGTATCTAGTCTGATACAGATTTACTAATTTGGCACTATAACCAATTTAGCTCGATTAAACTAATAAAGCACTTTAATTAGTTACTTGTATTGTTTTTTTTAATTTTTTTTTGTTTTTTGTGAGTTACAAATTTGGCACATAAACCAAATTTTTTCAAAATTTCTTAGGAACTTTTACCAAAGAAAACACTTGTATGAATTCTGATTTTGAATTAATTCTTTATTAAAAAATCTTAAGCTTTAATCTTAGTATTACGCTTATGCTAAAAGAGGATATGGACGCAATTCATACGATTTGTTATTTAATAGATTTTGAGAAGTCAAAGCTAAAGGCATTCCTGAAAATTCTATGCATTACCTGAGCTTACTCTATACCTGCTTACTATAGTGAAATTAGCAAGCTGGAATATGGTATACGTCATATTCCAACTTGCCTTACAAATTAGGTAAATTAAATATGTATATTATGCACCTGTGGGAACAACAGAATTATCATAGTGGCATGCCTATTGCTGATTATATTACGTCTGATACGTTGATAGTATGCGAACATTGATTTCTGAGAACCAGCAACATTGCTACGAATATATGACAACTAACCCAAAAAAATTTAACCCAAAGAAAATATATAAAAATAAGAATTTAATTTATACAACTATGTAAACATTAAATAATAATAAATTTATATTCTAGTAATTGATAATACATATAATATAAAACTCAGCAAACGGCTTTGCTTATTTTTAACCACACTATCGCTTCTTCAATCTTACGTATGTCTGGCAGATCTGTGTTTCCAATGTTTATAGTGATATGTTGGTTAGGACGGCTACATAGCTCTTGTAATGGAATGACCGTTAACACTATATTTGATAGACATGACTATGATTAAGAAACTATTACCAGCCGTAATAGTTTTTCCACCCATATATTAATCCCTCAAACAATCCTTTTTTGTTTCCTGGATTTAGTGCTCTTTACTATGTGATCGATAATATATGCCGCGGTTTTGGTGATGCTATATATGTTTCTCTCATTTACTTCCAGTTGGAAAAAAATGTTATAAAGAGAACTGGTAAATATTATTGAAAGCTTAATCAAGGCAGAAAATATATATAGCCAAATTGTGAAATAACGAATTATAGATTACAGATTTTTTTTTCGTGCGGAGAGGATGTTTAAAAATGTCTGACGTATCGTCTCTATAGTGTTATGCCCGGTTTGCACGAACTAAAAATAATTTCCCTTATGTCCCAGATCGTATTGAGAAACTTTATCGGGAATACTTCAAAATAGGGTCTCTGCGTTGGTTATCCGTTAAAAAATTTTGGTTTTCTTCATTAGCCTGCCAATTAGCCATTTTCTAGATCATATTTTTTCCATTTGAGTATAATCGTAATGAATCGGCCTATAGCAGTTCAGTTGTCTTTAGATAACATCATCTTCGTTGTGATATCTTCGACGTTTATTTCACCGACTATTGTTTCAAGTTATGTTCCTTCGGTGTTCCATCTGTTTCATTTGAAGATGGTGTGTTCAGGGTTGTCTTCGTCTGCATCTTTGTATATGATTACAGATAGATAACACTAAATTAATACTAATATCGTTGTTCATATAAATGTCTATATGTGACGAAAGAAATTATGTTACATTGATGTTATTATTTTCTTTAAAAGTTGTTCATATAAATGTCTATATGTGACGAAAGAAATTATGTTACATTGATGTTATTTTACGTTCGTGTCGGGTTAAGGGCCAAACGGAACTATCCATAGTTTATAAGATTTTAAACTGTTACTCTGGTTTTTGTTAATTTCACGAATTAAATATATAATCGTAATTAGAACGTATTAAAATAAATTCATATTCGAAAACACTTGAGGATCTTAATTTGACTCAGTAAAAGATAAAGTTTATCATAATGCGTAACACCTAAAAGCCTGTCGAGGCCACGCCATTAATTGCAATAAATGTCATTAATTGTTGCAGATTTATTTCAATACTATATTTATTGCAATTAAAATAAATATATACTGTGAAATATTTAAAGAAGCATTAATTTCTCTAAAATTTGACATTAAAGTTGTAATTGGTGTGGTTATATATATATATATATATATAAAACAATTGAATTTGAGGGACAAAAAAAATAATTACAGATAAAGTATCTGACATATTCAATTTCCATTAAAACTTGGGTACACGTGCTAAAAAAATGGACAAATATATTTATTTAATCCTATAAATTTGATTAATTTGAATCCTTCACCTCATTAATAACCACAACAATAATCGCAATCACAGTAGTAGTATATTTTGCTTCTTTCATATTTATATATATTAAAATCAATTTCTATTTAATTTTATGAAATAAATATATAATATTTTATTAATATACTGAATAAGAATTATAATTTTAAAAACATATATGTACGGACAAACTGTCTGAAACAAGTCATTCATAAGTGACAAAAATCGTAAAATTCGCTTGCAGTTCGCCAAACACCACCTGTACAAGGATAGTTCTTCCTAGAATTCAGAACTTTTTGCCGATGATAGTAAATTTAATCTTTATGCTTCAGATGGCTAATCATATGTGCGTCGTAAGCCAAATACTGAAATTCAAAAATAAAATTTATGTGGCGCAGTTAAGCACGTCGCCGGATATGTATTAATGGTAGGGGTTGGTAATCTACAATTTATATAATCAATGCTGAATAAAGAACTGTATTTAAATTTTTTAAAGAAAAATTTGCATTAAAGTGCGTAAGATTTAGGCATTATTGACAATTTCCGTTTCTACCAGAATAACGACCCGAAGCACAAGTCGGGTCTTATGCAGGCTTGCCTTGTTTGGAATTGTTCACACATTATCCAAATACCTTCCCAATCACCTGTCTTAAATGTCATAGACAATTTATAACATATTCTGGAAATTAACAAAAGAAAACAAAACATTTATCAAGGAAAAATGGGAAATGGGATAGATTTATTTATCTATCAAGGAAAGTGTGAAAGCTGCTTTAAAATGGGAATAGCAAAAAATAAAATATCAGCAGCATATGCTCAAACATTAGTTACTTCGATGCATTCAAGGTTAGAAGCAGTAATTAAACAAAAGAGTTATCCCACTAAATATTAAAATTCAGCTTTTTATGTTAAAAATTACATGAAATAAGCTATGCGTTCACAATTTGATGTATTCTCCAAAATTGCATATTTAAAATTTTTTGTTTTGAATACAATTTCGGAACTTCACGACTAAAAGCTCAGTTAGTCGGCACGTGCCGTAAGGACTTAAGTCAACGCGAAATGCACAACCAACCATACCTGTGTATTTCGCTTTGGCTTGAGTTTGCTGAAGTTCTTACGGTACATGCCCACTAACCGAGCCTTAAATCTACAAAAATGTTAATTAATTTTCAGTGTCTACAATTTTTGTATTTCATATTGCAGACAACAAAACAAAAAACATATTGCAAGAAAAACTTCTCTAGATTTTGTTCACAAAGCTTTAAATGGCTTTGTGTAGTCAATAGTGATATTGGTACAATAGAACTTTTCTGACCGCAGTAACAAATTATGAGAGAAACTTGTACTTCTTTTAATTAAACTTAGTTTCTAGTTATGCTTAAATACTTTAACAATTAGCTATTTATTTTTAAATATATGTTATAATTATGATGTAAAATTAAAGTTTTTCAATATTCATGAATTAAACATTCAAATTAAATATAAAATAAAAATAAAATAAAATCATTGGAATTAAAGGAAGTTACCTATTCATATTAAATTTTAACAAAATATAATGCATTATAATATTTCAGATGGTGTTCAGTTTATTTAATTTTATTCCGTCCTTACATTTTTCTTCTTCTCCGGTTAGGAACCGATGCACGCTGTCGCCTTACCTCGACGCATCATTCGCACAGCGCATAGCGTTCCATCTACTTTTCTATAAAATGCTATTTGCTTTTCCATTATCAACTTGCAACTTGCGTCGTTTATTGCAGCTTCCAGGTCAAGCAGATTGTGTTTGTCTTTGCTGGATTTAAAGAATTAGTGTCAGTATGATGGAGGTCTATGTGTCTGAAGTATTTGACCGACTGGCTTTGTTACTACGTCTAACATTCGTTGTAGTAGCTCGTTCGCTGTTGGTGTCGTGGAAACTTTCGAACTATCTGCCGTGGAGTCTATGCTGCTAAAACTACAATTGAGTTTAAAGACAAAGGGGTCCCCTTTTTTGAGGATCATTGGTTTACTGTCAGAGAAATTATATATATTTTTGTCCGTGATAGGTTTCCCCTTATATTTTCTAAGACTTAGTTCAATTGCGTGTACTTTGGCCTGAAAAACTGAATTTTTCTTGACTCATACTTGCATACTCTCGCCCTCACTCCTTCCTTCATTTTGAAGCCATCCGTGTACCACAAATGGCAGTCTGCAACGAATGCAGGAATGTTCTGTTCCCAGTCATTCCCGTCTGGTATTAGTACTAGGAACTTTTGTTGGAAGTGATATTTAGGTGAGCAAATGTCAGATATGGTGATGTTTAGTCCATTCTGTCTTTAAAAGGATTCCTTACTTTAAAAAGAGTATTATTGTAACTAGAATTTGTATAAAATTTAATAATTATTAATCACATTTGCGAATTAAGTGAAGCTTTGTTGAAATCAATACTAACCTTTTATTGAATTTAGAAAAATATTTTTAAATTAAACTCACTACAATTATTACAATTTTATATCTTTTCATTAAAAATAAAACAATAAATTAAAAGAATTCATTATACAAAGTCCAAACAATATACATAATTGTCACGACAACCAATATATATTTTCTTATGAGTCGGTATGTAACATGCCGTTGAAAAAATTTCAGCTTGCATATCATGGCTTGCTATTATAACACCAGTATGAAGATGTACTATAGAAATTAAGCCCTTTGTGGAACTAACCACGATAAAAGCTTCTTTATCGTCAGTTAGCAAAACTGGAGTTGCATAAATTGGGGATTGTAGGAAGGTTTTCCAACAAAGTTGCAAAGTGTTGATCTTATCCGTTTTTAAATATTTAAGGCAATAAAGATTATGATCATGGCAACCGAAAATCAAAAATATAGTATCAGCATCATTGTCTGTGAAACATGTTATGCTCGAAAATATGTTTCCCTCCAACTTGTAGGTAAATAACTAAAATTATATAAATATAATTATTAGAAAAAAAATAAAATTATTTTGATTATATAATGGTGAAAGGAAAACTTCAAAAAAAAACTAAAACTAAATATCAATGTACCTAATACTGGATATATAACTAGAAGACTTCAAAAACAGAAGACAGATTTTTATGCGGTAACTAACTGAAAGCAGACTTTCAGCTTCTAAATAAATGCCAGTATGTCTTTTGTCGTAAAATCCCTAACCTCAGATAAAGATTGAGCACTACCACAGACAAATAATATATGTGTATGTGGCACTACATACAAATATTCACAGAGTGAAATGTCTTAATCTAATAGGTTATAGTACTATAAATAATCCACATCGACTTTCTTTCTATAATGGAACAACTAACTCATGCCTCATTTGTGAGAATAAGGTAAACGCTTTACAATTTTCTCTATCAATACCCAAGATATGTTCATTTCGTGTTTACTTCTTTAGGTGATACTTTATAAATGATCTTAATCAACTTCAATGCTTACAAAAATGTGTGGGCTGGAGTTTAGACATGTATAGCTTGAAGAGAATTGGTGAAAGAACGCTGCCAATGGGGCAAGTTGAGATGTGATCGCGCAAAGGGCGGAGGTGGTAATGTGAAGTTTGCGAAATCCGTGTTGATAAGGGGCTAGGTTAATGTGAGGGGATATCTGTTTAAGGACTAAAGACTCCAGAACTTTGTTGTGATGTGGAAACAGATGGAGGAGTTCAAAATATGTATCAGAGCTGAAATATCAATCTTCCCGATGTTTTTGAGCATGAGCATCAAAATACCATCAGGCCCAGGCACCTTCGAGTCATTGGCTTGTCTGATCGCACTAAGTACATCATCAGAGGAGAAGAGCGTGGTGCCATTGGAATGTTGCTTTCGAAAAGCACGCTTCTGTCTGTGAATTTCAGGGATTCTGATTTCACCTTTATCAAAACGAAAACTATAAGATATAAACCTATTGAAATGAAAGAACCTAATTAGAAGATTTTTAGATTTGGTATCAAAAATGGCACTTATTGCCGCACATATTTAAAGTTAATTACAATAGTGTAATCATATTTTAAAAGCGCATAACTGTTAACATTAGAAATAGTACTGAAAAATAATGTTGAAGTATAAGAAAAATTTAAAGCGCCCCCATAGCTGCTTTCAGATTCTTCCTCCTTTAATAGTGTAAAGTCATATACCAGCTTAACTCATATTGTTACTCATATTGTAACTCATATTATACATAACTCATATATTTATATATAATGCGATATAGCGCTTTCATACGAGAATGCGAACTAATGGAACTATTACAACAATGTGAATGATTGTACATTCTTATCTTTAACAACGTACTAAATGGAGTCGAAACCATTAGAACTCCTGTTAGTCTACGATATTTAACTTTCAATCAATCCTATCAGATATTAACTATATTTTGAAACTTTCCTTTCCATACAGAGCATCTACTTACATGTGCGCCATTTTCAGCTTCGCATAGTAGTACTTTACCACCGACTTCAGCTACAACTAGTTTAGTATTCCTACATATTAACGCGGGAGTTGAAAAAATCGGTGTATTACATTTATTTGACCATACGATTTCACCAGTTTTCAAATGAATCTTTGCATATGTACCATCTAAGCTACAAGCAAATATTTCACAGTCATTCGCCAAAATTGGTGTACTAAATATACCTTTAGTGCCCAATCGTAAGCGCCATATATAACTTCGTGTCTATAAAAAAAATGCGAGAAATAGGTGAAATAACTTGACAATATTATTTTATGCAATTATTAAAGTTATAAGCTGTATATTAGAGCTTCAAATATTATTCGAGCTATTCAAAGTTTAAGACATTTTAATGTTCCAATATACATTAACATTAAGCTTTAGCACAACGAATCGCTCGAAAATGTTCGAACATCATACTGTGTTCGGGCTTATGCTAGTAAAGGTATATATATTTAAATAAAAAATAAATAAATTCGAAGATACTCGAATGCTCCAACACTTTAAAACACTACTATACAAATAATATTTAAGTTATATAGTTAATGTATAATTAACTAATACCCTTACCTTAAGACATATGCATGCTAAATTATATTCAACAGAATAGCTTCCAACAATGGCAACATTTTTAAATAGTAATGGCTTAGCTTTGATCAGGCCACCAATATTCATGGACCAATAGATTTTTCCCAATAAATAATCGTACACATACAAATAACCATCATAGCAGCCAACTACTGCCAAGTGTTCATCATCAGCTTGGTGTACTACAAATTCGGTAGCGCATTCTATACGATCAGGAAGTGTAACGCGTGCAATTTCTTGCCCACTGTATGCATCTAAAGTAACCATTATGTGTGCATGCGAACCAATGCAAATGTAGCGATTCATTGCCACTGTGGGTGTAGCATCGACACATTTTTTTAAATCAGCACGCCAATTTAGAAGCAGTTTACGCTTACCCATCAGGTATGATTGTGTATCTAATGTGACTTTTGTATGCCTACTCTCAGAAGACATGTTTTCATATTGCTTAAGAAAAGTTAACAGTTCCGCAATTGCAATATTTTCATTTAGCAACATATTTAGGAAGTTAGACTGTACAGCTGATGTTGGGAGAAGCATGCCAATTTCATTAACTAAGCTTAACGCATTAAATGAACTGCCACCAGCAGCAAGAAATGATAAATCCGTACCTTTAGGATTTTCTAAACAATTCGTTACAATTTTTTTAGTGACCGTTAATTGTAATCCCAGTGTTTCAACCAAAAAATGTTTGAATATATCAATTGGTTGTTTTTTCCTTCCATCTACCTTTAAAGTAAGTATAGATTTTTGTTGTTGTTGTAAACCCAAAAGATCTATGGATGAGAAGCGGGTTTTTGTTGATTGTATAGACGTGTGGCTTCCGGATGTTGACTCAGTCACTCGTGAAACAACTGATTTTAGTAATTCAGTGTGATTCAATTTACCGTGTTTGTTAAGTGGCATCTTTCGCATAAAAACAATAGTGTCTGGTTTCTCATAAGAGTGAAGTTCTTTTAAAAGTAGACTCCTACATATCCTTTTTTGACTTTCACTGAAACGTTTTTGTTTATTTAAACAACAAATAAGTTTAGTATATTTAGCATTCCAGATACATTTACTTTGTACGCAAGTTGGGCGTAGTATAGCGTCTATTTTGTGAGACAATACATCTGTAATTTAAATATTTTTATTTAAGCATATCAAATGCTTTATGTTAAGTTGGTTACCTAAACTTAAACGTTTTCCAAAACGCTTAATTGTGTTATTTAGTCTGCCCAAATAGTATATGTCACCAATTTCATCACGCCGCACCAAATCGCCTGTGCTGCGAAAAAGTAACTCATTTGATGTGAGGTTTAATTGTGTTTCAGAAGTTACTTGGTCTAATTGTGGTATGTAGCACTTTCTGCTCTTACTACCCACTTGTAGTTCACCTTCTTCAATACCAAATAACTCTTCATCATTATTATTTACAATACGCAATAAAGTTTCATTCTCTATTGGTTGTCCAATTGGAATATCTTGTTTCTCATATAGTCGATTTAATTCACATGCATAAATCGTGCTCCAGCAGGAAACTTCTGTTATACCATAAATATTAAAAAGCCGCGTTTGTATGCGTTGGTTTTTATTTATTGAGAACCAACTCTGTAATTCGGCTACGCTAGGAAATTGTTCACCACCTAAAATTAAATTTCTTTAAAACTAACATATACCAAACTGGTGGACAAAAATATTCACTTAAACCCTATACCAACCTTAAACTGGTGTTTGGACTTAATATAATATCTCGTATTGCATCCACGCCAAACAAACGAAACAACGATGGTGTCAACTGCAATGTGGTAACTCCACACATATTGCAGTTGTTTGGAAATAAGATATTCACAAGCTTCTGTGGAGATAAACGTATTTTAGACGTTGTAATTATTATTGCAGCGCCATTATCCAATGCCAATAAATATTCCACTATGAACGGGTCAAATGTAAATGGTGAGCACAAAAATATTATATCTTTCGCAGACAATTGTAAATGTTTACTGCGAATATTAAAACAATTAAATGCTAAAAAACAAATAAACAGACATAGCATAGCTTACCTCAGTGCTAGGTTAGGTGCAATGCAGCTATATGGTACATGTACCATTTTTGGTGCACCTGTACTGCCTGTTGTACCAATAATATAACAAATTTTGTCCCACTCTGTTAGAGTCCTTGGTATTGCGTCAACAGACACTTTCTTACTTATATACAAAATCAAATCAAAACATTTCAATTGTTTCAGCAAACATAATCGAAGTTGTTCGTGCGTGTCGTTATCCGCAATAAAATAAGTTGCACCACTTGCTTGGTAGTTGGCTGTCAATGACTCCACTGATGTATTCAGTTCTAACGGACAGAAGTAGCAATCAGCATTTAATATACTAAATTATAAATACAAAGTTGAGAAAAAAACAAATTTAAAATTTATATATAACATTACCTCAGCAGCAACGCACAGGATGCCGGAGTATGCTCCTGCAGTAACAAAGCAATACCACTCTGCGGTGCAATTTCCAATTCTTTGAATATATCCAATATTGCAGTCACTTCCTTCAAGACATCGGCGTAGGTATATATTTTTTCCAAAGAAGTCGCATATCGATACAATATAAATCTTTGTTTTGAAAAATGATGTAGTTTTTTTAAATTCCATGGGGCCATCACACACTTCTTAGTTCCTCACCAAAACTTAGGCAAGGAATAAAACATAACATATCCTTTTCTTTTATTTGTTTTGTAAATTATTGCACAATTCGATTAATAACGTTAATATATAAATCTTCGTTGTAGCTTTTTTAAATTGTTTCCTAATGAATGCTTCTTCTTACTATAAATAGTCACAATAGATTTCGGTGGGTTTTATGTACGAAAACGAATATTCCCAACCAGAGAAGAACTTCTCTCCATAATGCAATAATATTAATTTTTTGTAAAACACTCAGTTACATTATTATTTACTCTACATTTCCCTCTACATAAAGATAAGCTAAAATGTACGACACAAAGTAAAGAAGCAAAAAAATATTACAAGTACAAATCTTTTATTTTTAAATCTTTATTGTATCTTTAATACTTGACATAAAATTGTTTAATAAATATTTAACATTTTTATTATAAAATACTTACTAAAATCTACCCCACAAGAAAATAATTGCTGCATGCACTTCCAGTTCATCCAAGTGATCTGCAATCACATCGAAATGTGATATAGATATATAATTGGAAAAAATAAATAATACACTTACCTTATTTATTTATAATTTATATTTATTTTTTTTAACAGTTTAATACATATTTTTATTATAATATTTAAAATAAATATTGACAACCACCAACCAACTGAATGCACGTTTGTGAGAATCATAATAAACCAAAGAAACAGCGAATAAAGATGGAGTTAGACAGTAAGTAACGCAAGAAATTAAGAAGAAACGAAATGAAAATTTTGCTTTATATTAAGGCGGTGTTAAGGCTCAGTTAGACGATAGGTAACGTAAGAGATTAATTCAAAGCGAAATGCAGAACCATCTAAACTTGTGTTTTTGATTGGTTTTGCATTTCGCATTGATTTGAATTCTTACGGTACGTACCGACTAGCTGAGCCTTAAGACTGCACAAAGAGATGCAAAAGAAAGCTAAAAGTGCAGCTTAAACACTGCACGTGATAGAAAAATTGCAAACGACAAAATAAGCAAGAACAGCTGTAGATCCTAGTCGAATGACCTAATATATATTGACAGAAGGCTGACTTGGATTAAACACAATAAAAACAAAAAATTCAAGTAAAATTTAAATCACAGCATCTTCATTCACTTATTTATAAAAATTCTAACCTAAGTCTGGAAAATAAAGTCCTGGTATATAATTTAATCTTAAAACCTATATGGTCCTATGGCATAGAAATCTGGAGTTTTGCATGCGCTTCTAATATCGAATAAATACAAAGAGTTCAAAACAAAAAAATTTTGACAAATAACCGGCGCTTCTTAGTATCTCAAAAATGTACATTAAATACACAGCGATCACGGAATCGCAATAGCTGCAGATGTCATTAGAACGTGCGGTTAATGGCGCAACAGCTGCTTTCTGTTGTCACAATATCCAGACTAAATCGAAAAAGCTTTATTCCATCTTAACGTAATTTTGTTATAACTATAACTTTTGTTTAAAAAAAAAATAATTCATTTGATTTTATTATATATTTTAACTTCATTTTTGCACCTGCTAATTGCATTATTATGTTTAGTTTTTTAGATGGGATTAATAATTTTTAATTTCTATTCAGAAAGATACAATTAACAATAAAAGAAAAAAATATTATAAAAGTTAGAAGCATTGAATTATAAAACAATTTCACATTAATTAAAACAAGAATTGCTTTCAATATCAAAATAAATTTATTATATTAGTTCTTAATTCAAACAACAAAAACAATGCAACAAGTATATACATGAATATATAATATAAAAAAAAATTTAATTTAAAAATAAAAACAATTTTAATTTAAAAATAAAAAAAATTTTAATTTAAAAATAAAAAAAATTTTAATTTAAAAATAAAAAAATTTTAATTTAAAAATAAAAAAAATTTAATTAAAAAAAAGAACAATATTAAATCTTAATTCAAAAAATATAAATAAACACTTTTGTAAAATTTAAAAAAAAGTTGTGGAAAAAAACCAGCCGAAAAAATATAAATAAAATATGGAAAATATAAATAAAATATAGACAGAAAAAAAAACTGATTTTGTTCTTTGTTTTTGGTTATTGTTTTATAATAACAAAACCAGAATAACCAATAATTTCACTAAAATGATTCATAAAAACTAGACACTTAAAACAACACAATAAAAATATTTTAACTAACAGTAATATAAAGATAAAAAAAAATTATATTCATTTAATTATTAAAAATTTTTATAAAAGAAATTGGATGCGAGACCACTTTAAACATTATGTAAATAATATAAATAAAATTCGCCATATGAGCTAAATATTTATTAACTAAAATTAATATAATTTATAATGTTAGCATAATATCTATGTTATGTATATGATTAAATAACTTTAAAAGTTCTATTTAAAATATACAGAAAATTTGTACTGTGTAAGTAGGGCAGGAGAGGTTAGTCTTAGAATAAAGCTTTTGGTTTTTTGATTTACTTCTTAACAGCATTGTTGTCTTTAAGTTTCTTAAATAGTTCAACTGCCTTTTCTTTGTTCTTATCCATGAGATTTTTTTGTTTCTCACGTTGTGGTATAACCTCAGTCTTTGTGGTATTCTTAAGAAACATTGCAGCACCTTTGGATTCTAAGCTATTTGCATCCGATTTATCTGAACCGATAACATTGGGACCTTTTGCACGTTTGCTTATTGTTGGCTCCTCGATTTGTAAAGATTCTTCAACACTCTTTGTATTCGTCGTAATATTTGTACGCTTGCGTAGTGGTTTATGATTATGGATAGACTCTTTACAAATGTTTGCTTGTGCCACCATTCTCTTGCTACTCCGAGTATTATCTAAACTTTCTCTTGTTGCTTTAGTTTCAATCTGCTCTATTACGTCATTATCTTTAATATTGGAAACTGCTGGTTTTTCGATATGTGTTGCGGAAGTTGTATTTTTAGTCTCTTTTTTAGAACGAACTCCAGCAGCTGTATTTTTCGGTTTTTTCACACCATCATCCAAATTACTCTTATTTTTTTTATTTCGGCTATTATTTTTGGACACTTGTTTTTGGTTTGTAGTCAAAGCCTTTTTCGTTGAAATGTCATCTTCAGCAATTGTGTCATCATGTGATGAAGCATCTTGATCAGTTAATGGTTTATTTCTACTAGTTTTCTTTTTTCTGTTACGCTTGGCTATATCCTCGACCACAATGTCTTGTTCTCCGGCATTAACCATGTTTCTGATCGCATTTTGTACACGTTTGCTAACTTGTAGCTCCTGAGCACGTACAAACTTTTTGGCAGCAAAATAATTTCGTATAGACTTCTGTGTCGTTTTTTGGTTTAATTTATTCAATACGGGTTTCAAAATAGTTTCTGTCTTTTCTCTTGTCCAGCTCATTTTTTTACGGGTAAATCCAATAATTCCATCCAAGTCCGGTTGACCCCATTTGAAGGCATCTTTAATTTCATCTACTTTGGGTGATAAATATGCTTCAATCACCTGTAAAATTCAATTAAAATATTATTTAGACGACAATTTATTTCAACTAACTTACTGCTAAACTTGGGAAACCTTCAGGTATTTGTATTTTTTCTAATTTCTTTTTCAGCGAGACACGTGTTAAAGTACCAGGTGATATGGTTGCTGAATTTTGATGTAATAAAGCCCATTCTTGAAATTCTTGCAAAGATTTTAAAGTTTTCATAATGTTGATTCTATTATTTTCAGCGTATTCGCCTTTTAACGAAAATTCTGATAAAATTTCTAAACCTAATGTTGTTCCAATACCGTGAATGCCTAGAATTAAAAAAAAAGAAAAAAATTCAAATAAATAACAAACATGTTGTTGTTGTTATATTCCGATGTATATAGCAGGGATTATGAATGGAATTACAAGCAGAAAAAGGGTTGAGTATATAGGTAGATGTTAATTGAAACTACCCTAAGTCTAGGTGAGGATACGTGACAGTTTCAATGAATTGAAGCCAAAATCATATTCTGTGTAACCTCTCTTAAACGGACACAGACGGGTTTAGCAATTGTATTCTGTTAAGAGAACTACATGAAAAATTAAAACCGAGTATTATTATTATTGCTAGTTTAGAGAGTTGTCCATTTAATAGAGTTTTCAATGTATTAATATATATAAAAAAATGTTATTAAAATAAATACCTAAAGTATAGTCGCTCCCAACAAGGCATGCTAATTGCACAAGTTTTTTTCTATCGCAGTGATAAAAGTTTATAATTTCTTCGGCTTTAAATTCATACACATGTTTCTTATTATCGAAGAAATTTTTATAGACTGTACGTCCACCAAATAGCCAAATATCACTGTCGTCAGTGATAGTACCATGGGTTATATGGTGTTCATCTAAGAAAGCGCACTGCGCTTCTGCTTCCATTGGTGCTACAATATAAGGTATACCAAATAAACGCAACAGTTCCTGACAGTCACTTATCATTCGCTGCGATATTGTCATGCCCATACGCTCTTTGCGGTTCCTTTGCAACTCAAACTCCTTGCGTTGCTCTTGTATGTCATGTAGTTGTTGTAATTGTTCACTTATATCCTAGAATAAAGTAATTTAAAGTAAAAATAATTAAATAAGTGTTCAAATATTTACAATGTCCTGCAGTTGAAAGGTATTTTCTGTTATATGCTCAACTTTTGCATCTGTTTCAGACGCCTCCTTTAGTGGTTTACATATGTGGTCTGGAGTTTTTAGTGACCCATTAATATCATCGTTGTTTTTTTCGATTTTTTCGAAAGCATTGGATGAATCAACACTTACATGCTCGTTTATGATTTCCAAATCCTTTATATTTTTTTCCGAAACCTCGTCGACTTCATTCACGTTTGGTTTTATTTCATTTGCGACTGGTTTTGTATTAAAATTACTATTAGTAAGTAACTCGGCAGTATTTTCAATATCTTGTTCTTCTGCTATTGATGAAAGAGGACTTGTTATATGATTATCAGTTTTGACATCACACGCTATATCCATGTTCGATCTCATTGTTGGTTCTAATGATATAGTCTTTTGCATTTGGACTAAAGTTTCTTTAATTTTACATTCATTTTTATTTTCATCATCTGAAATCTCTATTGCAGGCGATTCAGAGGCATTTTTAGTATCCTGGGCACTTGTGTTAGGTTTTTTCGGTGTTGTAGTTATTCTGTCCTCTAGTGCTTTTTGAAATTTACTTAATTCACTTTTCATCTGTAGATGAGGATTTATTGTCGTCGTTGCCGTATCATCATACCTAATTTTTTCTGTTGCTGGAGTAAATGTAAAAAATAACACATATGCAGAGCATTAAAATGTTTTGAAAGAAGAGTATTATATATAGTAGAGAAATACAAACAGTAAAACTTTTATTTTAATTAAAATTATGTTTATTGCCGAATATGCACAATGGAAATCTGTGATCTTTTCAAAAATTTCAGAATGCCAGTGTCACGTTTGGAACTTAGAATCTTAAAATGTGTGTTAATCGCATAAGGAACAGCAATTATATTTTTTATTTAAAATAATCTCTTTCTCATATTTGACTTTAAATCAATCTAATTGTTTTAATTTGTCTTAAATAGACTTCATAGGTTATTCCTTTACCTTGTGTTGAACTAATATCCGGTACTTCTTCAAAATCGCTATCATCAGATGATGATGATTCCACAACTAAACAGTCAGGTTTTTCTATATTTTCGTTTATATTTTTTTGTTGCAACAGTGGCAAAAGATTTTCTGTTTAATAAATAAATATGATTAAAAGATTGTTCAAGTAAAATATTGTAAGCATACCAGCACCTTCATTGGAGGGAACTTCAATTAAATCGTCATCATCAGAGTCAATAATGTTTACTGTAGAGTCACTGAAAAATGTGTATCCAATTTAATACATATGCAACTCTAATAACGTTATACTTTTAATATCTATTATTAATTTTTGAATTATTATTATTATTTTTAAATTATTTCTCGAGTAACAATTATAAAAGTTTATTCATATTACTAGTGCAAAGTGGCAGCGACAAAAGACAATTTTCCAAAATATATTTCGTTATTGTTGCATATTGCTTACTGTTATTATGATAGGTTAGGTTGGAGTGGCGGCCTTGTGACCAAGGTCCACTTACTTTTTTTATGATATTTAGCTATGATATAGAACACGTTGCTAAAAATTTCTATAATATTTTACAGATCATGTGGGTGGTATTAATATTACCAAATGACAAAGTAATTATATAAAAAAAAACAACAAAAAGATTTTTGAACAGTTGTGAACTATAAGAACAAAATTTTTATTATTGATTAATTAAATTGAAATTCAAAAATTAAAAATTTATTGTTTTTTAGGATTTTAATTTCCTAATAATAATAAAAGTTCCTAATAATATTAGGAACTCTATTAAGAAAATAGTTTCTTTCGTCATAATTGATTTTGAAATCAAATTTAAAAAAGAACATATTTATCATATAAGACTTAAAACAAAATACCTTTTTATAGTTTCTGACTTATAAACAATTTAACACATAAAAATAATGAAATAAATATACATTTTTTTCATTACCATTTATCTTCTTTTACGTTGCTTTCGAAATTCATTGAAATTTGTGTACTATCCATTATATGTTCCACCTCCTCCATATTTACATGCCCGTATTCAATCATATAAGCTCGTGCTGGCCCAACCGCAGTATCTTTTAAATGTTTTCGTTGTATTGCATTTAAGCGTAGTGGCTCACTTTTCGTTTTTTCCCGACTTTCAAGATCTTCCAAAGAAAGTGCTATTGCAAGTTCGAAATCAATTTGTTCCTGTTCAGTACCTGTAATCTGTTTTATTGCTTTTTTAAAACCTTGTTTATAATCTTCAATATCTTTCTCATTTTTATCAATTTGCTTAACATCTGCAACATCTTCAACTTCCACAATTTGCTTAACATCTGCTGTATCTTTTATTTCTTTTTCAATTGCAAGTTCTGAAGTAGTTTCAGTTTGAGGTGTTATTTTTTGTTTATCGGATAATTTAATGTTTTTCTTTAAATTTTCCATTTCTGATTTACGTTTCAAATCACGTACTAACCAAAAACGAGTATGTTCATCTGATGATATGGTGGCAGACTCTATGAAATAAAAAAAAATAACTTTAGATAATTAACCTAAAATTAAATATTTTTAATATTTTTTTCTTACTAGCTAAGGCATCACTTGGCTGAATAACACCTGATTCTATAAAGATGTTTTCTATATCTGACATATTTATGGTTTTGCCACCCATTTCTTCTTGTGCCTCTTTCATGCTTTTTTGTACCTGAAATTTTTTTAGTAAACGCTTCATTTGTAAACTGCTGAAATCGTCACCTTTCGACGGCAGCTCATGTATACGTCCCCATGAAGATTGTTTATGGGTTTCTTTTATTTCAGTTAAGAGCTCGTAGCGCGTGTCAGCTGGTAAACTTTTGAAATGTTCATTTTCAATGTCTATTTGTTCTAAATTATTTTTATAGCTATAACGCAAACTAGACTCGTCTGTGCTGCTACTATCCATTGAAGTGCTGAGAAAATCATTCGATGTGTCTTCAAAACTACTCTCATCGTACTCGTTACTTTCTAAACTATTATTTCCATTATTACTAGGTAGTTCGGGTAGTTTGAAGATGTCCTCTTCTTCCTTACGTCTTGATTGCTTAATGGGCGATTTTTGTAACAAACTAATTACTTGTTCTCCTAAATGTTGTTTCACAATATTTTCTTTAGCTAAATTTTGAAGCATTAAACGCTCTATTTTATTAGCGTCCTGATTTAATTTACTACGATTTTTCTGGCGACGTTTCTATAAAAATAAATAAAAAATATATTTTTACTAAAAATATATTATAAAATCAATAGCGTTAAATCATTCTACGACATGTTATTGGAGGAGACAGTTATAAGGTCCTAGGACGTTATATTGTTTTTGCAGCTTGTAAGATACTACTGCTTTTCAAAAGTTCAAGAGAGAGACTTTGTGCGGATTAGTACTAAAGAAAATATATGCAATTCGCCAAAATTGATTTATATATGCATAACATAAGATATCCTTGTTCTGTGGTTGCTTGTTTGTATTTTTAGTTTTTGTACAATATAACAATAAAATCTGCTACATCGATGATGGGACCGAAACTTTTTTGTGGACTGGGATATAGCATGCTCCTTTCTCTCATAAAAATAAAGGAGAACCTAAATAAAAAGGATTACTGGGCTAATATACCAGGATTAACACAACCCAAATCTCTTATTGGTACCTATAACAATTAAAGATACCAGTATTATATGAACTTATCAAAAGAAAAGCTTAGAATCCTACAGGGCACTGTAAACTAAAATACCACCTTACAAGACTGGGTATACATACGGATGCAAACTGCAGATTCTGTGAAGAGAATGAGGAGTCGGCCACACATGTGTTGTTAGAATGCCCTGCGCTAATGCACATACGGAATAGGTTTCTGGGAATGTATATTCTTACGGAAGAGTCAATAAAACTCTGTAAATATACTCCTTTCCTTATTGAAAAGGAAAAATTTCGTTTAAAGATTTGGAAAAAAAACTACTACTTCCAGCAGGAAGGACAGACAAGACATTTTAGATTTGTTGATAATATTCCAAACTTGTCTGCTTATGTTCGTCACAAATCGTATATTACAAATCTTCAAGTCAGGATTAAATTAGCGAGGCAAATGATTATAGGTATTGATTGCCTGAGTATATGACTGCGTTGGTAAGGTTGGCATTTATACTTGCTTCAATATAAGATTATTTCAAAAAAATAAATGAAAGAAACTTACGATTGTGTCCAGTTTTAATACCGGCACGCGGCCATCGAATACAAACACCGGTCGTATGCGATAATTCAGTAATTTGCATATTCTACTAAACAAACCTAGCACGTGAGCATCTTGCCGAGCAGCACCTGTGCTATCTTGAAAGCCCTTCGTTACTTGATGCAACCAAATGGATATATCTGAAGGCATAAATATAGGTGCATATGACTCGATTTCATCAAATTTCGTCAGAGCGTTTTATTTACCTATGGCTAATATTTTTCCTTCAAGTGATTCAACGGGCACTGGCTTGCCGCAGTTGTCAAGAAGTTGCCACAGACCAGTTACTCCCATCTTTAGTTTAATTATTTAAATTTGCACAAAACTATTTACAACAAAAATACCTGCCGTGCACTAAATTTTGTATTTCAATGTAATATGTCATTTGACGGGGTTGCTTTGTCCAAATAATGAGATGAACTTAATCAAAATAGTGTAGTGATGCAAATGGTAGTATAATAAGAGTTGTATTCAAATGGAGTATTTAAATTAAAACAGATCATTTTATTTTTTGGTAGATGAATAGTAAAGAAGATAAAGAAAAGAATCATGAAAGCACGATATAGACGATGCTATATGTATGCACACCACAATGCACTATTTTACCCACCTGGTTCTTACTCACCACGATGTTTACTAAAGTAAGAGCACTTTTCGAGAAATTTCGTTGTTTGTTTTGGTTTTTTGACATTAAAAATCCGTTACGAAAAAAAGCGTCAAAGTTGCAAATAGGTGTGCACCTATTACCAGTGAAACAAAAATAAGACAGAATGGGATTTTAATTACAAAAACATTAATTTATTAATGTAATTATTTTATAAAAATATAAGAAACATAATTAAAAAAAAATTTATTTACAGATGAAACAGAAGTACGTACTTGAATGTTTAAATTTTAAACATTTCTATATTTTTTTGACGGATTATCGAAGGTAAATTATTAATTAAAAATAATACAATTCATTGTTATAGAAAAAATTGAGTACATAAATATACTAACATTTTAGAAACTTAGTTTTATATAGCATATTAAAAATTTATATATAAATTGCAGTGTTATGTCTTATGTTGAGACTTTTCCGAGTTAGTGCATCTGAGCACTTTTACTTTATGATGACTGGGAGATTTCTGCAGAGTCCCACCCATCTCACTGACTAATATGAGTATTCCTCATAATCTTCGTGATTATTCAATGATTGATCTAAGATCTGCGTTCTGTGCGGTTAATGATTACTCTGAGATTAGATAGTGCTAAGTAGAGCAGCAGTGAAATTGATATAAAAAATAATGCCTATTGGGCATAGGCGAAAGAATCAATGCATCAGTGATGATGCATCGATACTTTGGAATCAACAATCAATACCATTACCATATCAAGTAAATGTATTATTATGTATTGTATGTCATAGGAAAATTATAGATGCATCATTTTGAATGACACTTTTTCGATGTAAAAATGTGGGGAATCAATATATTTATGTGGTGAAAACAATATAATTATGTGGTGAAATCAAAATATTTTTGTAGAGGAATCGTTATCGCTACCACAAAGCATCCAAAAGCATCAATAAATTTAAATAATAGTAATTTATATATGTGAAGATTATATGTAGGTATGTATATATTTATTTTATTATTATATTTATTGAAAAATAATAATTAAATTAATATTATATATTATATAAAGAAAAAGTACAAATAATTTATATATAAAAAATTACAAAATATTGAGGTGAAATGCAGCATAAGTTTCCAAAAATTGTATACATATTTGAAACCAATTGAACCACAAAATTTAATATTAATACTCCAATAAAAAATTTATATTATTATTATTATAAGGTCAATGAATCTATTAATATTTTGGATGAATTATTAAAATTTCAATTTTATGATAAGGATAATCAGATTTTTAAATTTTTAAAAAATTTATGTGATGTTATGGATAAAAATATTTCTAGAAAATAAACGATATTTATTTTATATCCTTATATTTTTTTTTAATGCATTTTTTCATTTTTATTTAAATTTTGGATAAGTTCCAAATTTTGATAGATATTGTTCTTTCCCATTAATGGAATATACTGATAAAAGAATCATATTATGGAATGAACCATTATTCGAACCATCAACTACGAAAACACTTAAAATGCTTTTTGAAGATACAGTTTCAGCAAAAGTAAAAGTGAAATATAGTAAAAATGCTGTAATAATGAAAACTCCAATAATTGATTTTAGATTAAGAATATTTACTTATAAATGGAGATCTTATATAAAATTGAAACATTATAAAGAAAACCACATCCATTATCATGTTATCATTTATTTAAAATTTACAATATTATATAATATAGAGTTCAGGTTGCTGGTGGCATATTTAACGGGTCACCATGGACTGCATTATCAACTTAACGAAATGGGTCTGTCAGAATTGATAGATTGTCGACTCTGCTTAGAAGCAGACGAGTTTTCTAGTCACATTCTCAGTGACTGCCCCGCCTTGATTTGGGCCAAGAGGAAGTCATTGGGTCGAGAACTACTACTTCCTTCTGATATTAGGTGATCCTCGATGGCCGATTCTCTGGCTCTCATTCGGAAGGTGGTATGTCTTACGAACGTCGGATCGCCCTTGTTCTTTCTCGGTAATTAGTTGTTGTTGTAGCCCGTCGGGATAAAGAAACACATACCTGCTTGTGTGACTCCTTTGGGGATGTTGAATGACACTTGTTCGTCTTTGTCGAGTGGTTTTGGGACCTAGTTGGTAACCTAGTAAGTAACTCGGTATAGCAGTAATTTTACGAAAAGGAATATACAAAAATAAAAACTAAATAGTAATTTTCTGCGTATCTGGTCATATAAGTATTAATGTCATTAGGTCTACATACCATCTTGCAAAGATTGTAAAAAGTACAAGCACTTATGGATTTATAGTATTGATAGTGGGTTCGTATATCTAGTGTTGTATTGAGATTTCTTTATTAATGCCTATTTAATAATAATTGGTACTTATAAAATGCAGTTCAGTTCAAATCACTAAATATAGAAGACTGCACTTTTCTGCACTATAGCATGATAGCAAGCTTATACAGCATGACTTTCGTTTATAGAGAGATGACTCTATTTCTTAATTTTGTACTCAGTTCAAAGTAGCACAAAATTGAATATTATTTTTGATGTTTTTGCTGGTTCCAAGTTAAAAAAAAAAAACTTTTTAACAATTACGAACTTATAGTTTTCTAGAGTGATGTGGATCCCAAGTTGTTCAGGTTATAAAAAACTTTGCTGTTGAGCAGGTTAATAATGGGTTATAATAATTTATAACAATGAAAATATGTCAGAAAGATGTATTTCTTTTAAAGTGGAAGAATTCTTTACCTCTTGTAGTTTCAATATAAAATAATAAAAAAGATATAAGTTAAAACATAAACAATTAAAAGATATAAATATAAACTAAAATACTTCACCGGACCGTATTTATATATTTATCTAACAATAATAAGAAATAAAGCAGTTTAATGAGTTCGACAATATAACTATAATAGTGGGCCCTATGTCTACATTTCGCCATATTGACTCTATAAGTACATATATTAGTAAAAAATTAGTTTTAAGTTTTTTCATCGATTTAATGATTTTCTTTCGTTATTATATGATGCACATCTCCTAAAATTATTTTAATTTAAAATTTATTAAAATTAAATAATTAATCAATATATTTGATATACTTATTAACAAGTTTCATATTAAATTTAGTTGTCCTAAGTTTTTATCGTTAAGAGGTATAATTACAAAAATTGCTTTATTTAAATAATTAAATAAAATCTGTATAGTTAATATTATTTAATTTTTGTTATAATATGTCATTGCTGTTGTTTGTTTTTAATATTATAGGAATTATAATATCTAGGCTAAGACCTGAGTTTAATTTTTTGAACTAAAATTGCTTTTTGAAATTTAGAACCTTCGCTTCCTGGCTGAGTTTTGAATACTCGGCCTGCATAACACTTCTGGATTGTTCGATGAGACTGTCGAGATCATCTGTATTGGAACCTTTTGTAAATATTTCAGGCATGATATGAATAATAGCGTGTCCAGGTCTAAACATTTTCTTCTCGCTATTTAAAAACCAATATTTTGATATAACTACCGGTTGAATAGGGCATTGACTTTGTAGTGCAATATGAAAGGATCCTTTTTTAAAAGGCAAAAGTGTTTCTTTGGAATTACGTGTGCCTTCTGGAAATAGTAAAAGCTTGCAGTTTCGTTCATTAATAGCTTTTGATTCCTTTTGCAGCGTCACAATAGAATCAGATTTACGTGAACGATTTATGAACAGTGTACCCCATAGCCAAGCACCAAAACCAAAGAAAGGTATATATAAAATTTCCTTTTTGGAAACAACAGTAGCTCGTCCAATAACAGGCCACAAGTAAGCTAACACTGCAATGTGAATAATAAATAGTGAAGATTATCTATAAAATTGAAATATACATATAGTACAATTGCATAGACTGAACTTACCACAGAGATCCAATGCGCTTTGGTGGTTCATAAGTACTACGCTGCCATTTTCTTTGCGTACATTTTCCAGACCACGCACCTCCATTGTGACACCTAAGGCACGACAAAGCTGTCTGCAGCACCAAGCGGGAACACTAACATTATAAAAAAAAGTATATTATATAGTTAATATTATTACAAAAAGCAAAAATTATAATATTAACTGATTATAGAGATACGTTTTACTCCGAATTAAATAACGTTCAAACGTTTAAAAAGCTACCCAGATCAATGACCAAAGTTTACAGTGAGTAGATATATTTTTTAAACCTAAAAAATTTATTGCGATTCTAAAACTTATTTATATTCAGACATTAGTTTTTTCTTAGATTATTGTCATTTTATGACAATAATTAGTGTTATTAAAGCTTTATTATAACTTTACTATGGCCAAATTAATGGGACCTAATTACCAACCACTCAATCCTAACGTATTTTAATTATCTTACTTCATGTCACAGTTATAATGAATAGTTGTTAATTGTTTTGGGTGCATTGGTACATATATATATGTACCATATATTATATTATATATAATATATTATACTATATATACATTATTTTATATTATATATATGTTATATTATATATACATTATTTTATATTATATATATTGCAATATATTATATATAGACATATATTATATATGATCTCTAACTCACAGTGCATTGCGATAATCTCGCGGTCTCACGAACATGAAAGGTATGCAAATAAGTACAATTACACCGGATCCAATAAGGAATGCAGCCATTTTTAGCTGGTATGGTGCTCTAGAAGAGAAGCTCATGATTAGCGCCACAATGCAGGCAAGTCCAAAAATTTCACAAACGCAGCCCATTTTAATGCTAAAAATAAAAAAAATATATATATTTAGAATTAAACATATTTAATAAGGACTCTCATTTCGTTATTATGTATCAATTAACATTGCTGCTTTGTAAATATAAAAGACATAAAGATATAATTAATATCTTTTTGATATTAAGATATATATAAAGTACTTTTAAAGTTAAGATAAATCTGCAGACAAGTTTGAAAATAAGGAATACATTAAATTACTAATTCGATAAACAAAATTATAGCTTTGATTGACATTTACATGGTTTACTTGATCTATGTTCACCGATTTCCTTGTTTATTCTTTTCTTGGTTAGCAAAACTGATATTAAAGCCCATGTTATGAAGAATGTCATAAGCACGTCAATATTGAAATTGTTGTCGTTCCAATGCAAATTAAGAAATTGAAAGTGAGAGAAAAAAAAAATGTCGGATTAAATTTGGTCACGGTGACGAGGATTTGTGTCTCTCGTCACGTTGTTCAAAACAGTGTTGCTCAGTAATAAATTTCCACCTTTTAGGAGCAAAATACTACAATTTTAATATAATTTGAAAAAAAAATGTCAGGAAGCAATACAGCTAAGTTCCGCTAATAATCTAATTGTTATATTTTCCGATCTTAAGAAATGGCGTGTAATTTTGTAAGTGCTGTTAACAGTTATTATAAGAAAAAATGATAATAAAAATACGATACTGACAATACAGATATGACTATCTGCATAACATGCATTTTAGTCATGACATAAAAAGGCAAATTTGACGCAACCGTGAGTTCCTGCATAATACGGGCTTAATGGAACGAAAATAAATTTTCATCATTCAGATCTGTCAAGAATCTAACATCCAATCGCGATTCACAGTAGCTGATATTGAAATATTAGGCGCGCTTAAAACAAATTTAAAAATGCTGAAGAAGATATGAGCGAAAAGTGACTTCACAAAAAAAAAAAAAAATACAATAACGCCTTCTTTCTTTAACGAAAATAATTTGATCATTAACACAACTTCGCATTCTTCATGGTATCAAGTATTCACAAATAAATATGAAAATCTTTAGTCTGGTAAGTCGCAAATTGATCATATCATATGATGTTCAAGAGTGATACCAACAAAAAATTTGATTTTTTTTTCTGGAATATATTGATGCTAAGTCTTCTTCCACTGATCATCCTTTTTAATTGTGCGAATAGAAATACGTCTGGCGAAGACGTAATTTGGAATGCAACACGACTCCTTTTTTCTGGAGCGTCACGATTCAACAACTGGCTTAAGTAAAGTCGCCTATTTTGAACAAATTCATCCATTTTGCTGTATCTCTTTATAGCTTTTTTTTTTCCAAATATTCCAGTTTTAAGTTGGAAATTTCACATGCAAAAAACACCAGCAACAAATTGAAGTGCCATTGTTGTTAACAGTTGTCTGTGTTATCAAACTAAAAATTGCATATACCAATTGTCGCTAGATGGTGTGTGTAGTTGTTTTTAGTGAATACCATGTTGAATAGACGACTTATATCCATTGTCAAATGGAAACGTCTCGGAAATAAGTATTTTGCCCGAAATGCAATTTGTATAGTTTGGCAATTGTTATCATCGACTTGTGATAGTGCGCACGATCTTAATGAAAGAATACTTTCTTCTATGGGTCTCACTCAGTTCTGCTTATATTGAAAAATTTCGCTTAAAAAAAATATTTAACATTGAAGCATCGCAATCTAGTGAAGCTCATGACATTTGCTGAACAATGTCATGATAAACGTCATTAAAGGTCAAGTCATGAAAGGCATCACTAACTCGTAGAGGACGAAAGATGTTATAGAGCACTTTTATTTTAAATGTTCGCAGAGGATTCTAACAGCATAGTTGTTATAAATAGCGTTGTTAAGCTCTCAACAGTTTTTAACACACAGTGGCTAATAACTGGTTGTCTGTCCGAGTGAAGTGGATTTCTACTTTGAAGTCTATTTTTGGATCTTACATTATTTAAATGTAAAAAGATTAGTGAGTTTGAAATCTGTATAACTTTGTAACCTAAAAAGGTCAGACCTCTTTCCATTTCATCTACCGATATTTTATGTCCGTAATGCTGAGAAAAATATATCGATACCACATATAAAGTAAAGTATAACTATGGAAATTGCTTGGTTTTGTTAAGCTGCATAAAACAAACTTATTTAATTATGTCTGTCTGTCCGCTTGTGTATTGGAATGTCAGTTTTTGAGAGACTAGAAGCTCAGAAATGAAAATCCATATTACGACTTTTCGAGTATGAAATTTGGAACATTATGTCGAATATTTAAAATCGATTAGTATTTATGAAATTATATAGTGAATGTAAACAAAGATGAGTTTACAATAGAAAACGAAAAGGTTAAAAATGTAGAGTCCACATTTTGTTACTTTGGTAGTGTTATATCTCAAAATGATATTGCTAAATAAAACATATTTGCAAAAGGGCACATACGCTCAGTAAAGAAAAATATGGGGTTCATCGATATTAACAACACACACCAAACTCAGAATTTTTAAAACGAACGTTTTACAGTTTTCTTATACGATTGCGAAACATGGCTCGGAACCGAATCGAATGTCTAAGGAGCATATTTGCAGTTTGGTGACCAAATGTGATTAGCAACGTCGAGCTGTAAAGGACATGTAATATTGAAACTATAGAAATATTAATTAAGCAACGCAAATGGTGTTGATCAAGTACTCGACTGGAACCCGCAAGGAATACGAAAAAGAGGACGACCCACTGAGAGATTTTAACAACGGGAAAATAGTGGAATGAAAAAAAACCTATCACAAGCAATCGGACGAAATGAAAATGTGTAACTAAGGCCCAATGCTCCACAAGGGGATAAAGGAATTAAAATAAAAAAGAAGAATAGTATGACGATAATAATAGGAACAAAATATTATTTATAGAATGTGACGAAGAGTCTCATCTCCTACTAAATGTAGACTGTACTTTTTAGCATTACAAATTTATTATATACATACAAGTTGATTAACAAGTTACAATATAAATAAATAAATATAATTAATAATAATTACAATTTTCATATTTGTTCCAGATAGCATAAAGGTTTGTATAATATTACAGGCCTGGTAAGATTATCTCACACTATCATAAATGTATATACCATATAATAGAGTTTTTTCAAATCAGTATTAAAGTTTATTTTGTTTGGAAAAGTATTTAATTTTGTTTGGATTTAAAAATCCCGATGCTAGATACTTGGTTCTAAGTTTATTTGCAGAAGGATATGTACAAAGTGTGTTAATGATAATCATGGTAGAGCGTAAATAAATGAACTTGATATAAGTCGATTTTTTAAGGTGTTTGAATCTATAGAGTTCTGTACGCAGTTCGGTTGTCTAGTTAGCTAGTCCATTGTGGAGCTTAAGGGAAATGGATAATTTTTTTCATATATATAGAAATTGATATTAAACTTCAGTATCTTATTCAAAAATTAGTTACATTTGCACAAGGTAAATAATTTCTTTTTGCACTTAAATGTATAATGAAAATTTCAAGAGATTGGGTATAAAATACTTGATATGTTTGTTCCGTTCTTGAGGTGGTGAAAGTGAAAAAGAAAAAAATAAAAAAGTGTTTAACAAATGGAAACTGTGTTGATAAAATAAACTTTTGTTTTTCTTATTTTCCTTAAACTTGCCATAGAGAAGTACGACTGCAAATTGCACTATTAGATTAGATTAGATTTTAAAAGGGTTGCGAACTTGTCACCACGTCACTGCATCCTTTAAGGATTATTGTGAAAAATCCACCTTAGTTTCATACACAAATAGCACTTAAAAACGCCGATATGTTCTTTAGAGAGATGTTGACTAATTCCGTTTTAAGTGGATAGGCAGTTGATAAGTACCGAAGTCTGAATCTGGCGAGACTATCACAGTGACACAGAAGATGTTTTACTGTTCTTCATAACAAAGTCTGCAGCTATCGTCTCTAATACCTTGGTTCGATAGATGCTTTTTTACTTTGCAACACCTAGTGAGAAACCTTGTGACAAGTCACATGTCCAGATAGCACTATATGAATCAGATTATTCACTTATTGCCATTGATCAAAAGCTTGAATGAAATCTGGGTTCTTTAAACTCACCCGACTGTGGATTGTAGCTGATAAAGCAAACTTATCATTTATTTCTATATCTCTATTTGTGTAAGAGCTCAGTTCTTTAAATCGGTTATAGCATTTAAGTACATTTAAATTCGATGCTCAACCATTTGTAGGGCAAATTGCAATATTTTTATAAAAAATAACATAAAATGCATATAGATACGTATATATCTATAAATGTTTTGATAAAATATATAAATAAGTAGCTCTGTCGCAAAAATTTATTGAAGTACTGCGAGCATATAATCAATTTGTAAATCGTTTAACGAGAAGTTCAGAAGTCCAACACTTGTAAGATACCAAAGCCATGACTAAAATTGCTTGATTATAAGTAATCGTGTATTGTTAAGAAGTTTCGGTAATAAATTAATTAAGAAGTGTGTACATAAGCTTTTTATTTGTATGGTTTTATTGTTTTTATTGTTTTTATTGTTTATCATAAACATAAAAGTTAGCTACTGAGTATTGTAATCGGTATTAATTGATTGATACGCTAAGGGGTTGACATATAATTTATAACTGATAAGATAAAATCTGCATTTCTGACCTTTGTGAAATTTGTTTTAAATTAGTAAACGGTTGAAATTTTATTACCAAAAAGATATCTAGAAAAAAATGAGTATAATTATGGATAAAACAGAATTATATATTTTTGAAGACACGATAAAGCACAGGATATATAGATTATCTATAATATAAACAGACACAGCGAGTTTATTAACAAACAAATAAATTTAAGTATTAAAATTAAATTAATTCAAAAACAAAATGAAAAAAGTAAAATAAAAATTTTAATTAAATAAACAATTAAATTGAACTTTTCCGTAATTATGAAAAAAAAAAACCTTTCGAAAAGGT